TTCCCCCCACTCCACCCTCCCTCTGCCAAACCTCCCCCCGCCCCCCGCCAGTCCTTAAAATTTTCTTTCACTGTCTTCACCAGGTTATCATTGAGAAAAAAGGATCTTTTCAATTCAAAACTTTTCAATTAAAAAACTTTCAATTATTTTAATGATATTTTTAATCATATAGAATCACTGCTAACAAATCCAGATTAGTTTAAAAGTAACTCTTTCACATGCCCGATGATAGTCCTTTATTTTTTTAGAAACATAATGCTACCAAGATCCTTCCAGTTCACCCTTCTATGTGAGGTCACTAAGAGCTCAGGACAGTGCCTGGAGATCTTTGCACAAGCCTTAAGCTCATCTTTTGATAAAGAATAGAAAACAAGGACATGTTCTCATCACTTTAGAAAGAGTGGCTCAGAAACTAAAAAAACAAAAAAGAACTTATCTGACAAAATTTAATTTCAAATATTTGCTAAGTAGCCTCTCACTATTAAAAGAAGTCTGTGTTAGATTTTGGTGCATGACAAACATCACACACAGCCTTATCATTTGTAATTCTGGGAACATAAAAATTAAATTTAAAAAAACACAGATTTCTTTTTTAAAAAGAAAAAATATTCTAGAAAAATGGTAATAAGTCATTTTTAAAGTAATAGCTCTTCTCTTTCTAAAACCTAAATGTAATTTTTCAGTAGTGCTGGTAGATCTCGTGTTGGACAGACCCAGCTTTAGGGAGGTATGGTGAAGTTTGTGTTCTAAGGGTTCATTCACAAACTTTGTTTGTCTGTGTTGAAAAGGGAATTTGGCCATTTCCTCTGGGGACATTATTTCTAGGTAGTCTCTAACAGGGCTTTCTTGTGAGGACAGATTATTAAAGAAAAATAGGATATGTGTACAGGAGACACGGGAACACATTTATCTTTGAAATAGCACCTTCCAATTTGTGGATTCTCCACTGCATTTGATGAAGTAAATAAATTCATTCCCTTCCAACTCTGTAAGTCCTTGGTCCCTGGTTTCATTCTGGATCCATTTTACCTTCATATTGAGACAACTAACTGGGTAAATCAACAGGAAGGCTCCAAGAGTCTCAGGCTATGGAGGTCTGAGTTACAACTAATCCAGTGGTTTATTCTTGCACACAGAAGCATCACCATTTCCCTCTCTGCTTACCTCAGCAATACAGAAAGAGCTTTATTTTCCGAGAGGAGCTAGTTGCTAGTAGATACTGTGCTCAAACTGTAGGAGGCTGCCCTGGAATCTACCACACAATCTTGAGAGGTTGGGGCAGAGAGGTGGGTTGGAAGTCTTATGTCTCATTCCTGTTTCACAGAAGAGAACTGTGGTGACGTCACAAGACTAGACATAGACTGAGAATCAGTGTTGATGCTTGATTGCTGTGTCACCACTACCTATAGCTTGCCAGAAGCAACTCTTATGTGGGAATCAGATACTGAAAACCCACCTATTCTGAGTTCCTCAACTGTCCATCCACTGACACCTCAACATATCAAATTCCAGTCCTTGGCTTGTCCAGGCACCAGGGCCAGCCTTACCTTTACTAATCAGACTTTGTCTTGCTAGAAGGCAACGTTCGCCTTTCTTAGTCTTTCAGAGCCCCAAACAAGTGGGCCCTTCATAAGTATTTTTTGATGAGAGCAATGATTGCCTTAGTCAGTGTGGTGGGGCCCTCCCTTGCTGAGGAAAACCAGCGGTGGTTGCTAAGCAACATTTAAAAGGTCTAGATTGGTTTCTGATCCTGGATGACCTTCATTTGTATACTCTGTCATGTGTATTTTATGGTTACCTTAGGATGACTTTGGAAAACTTTGATTTTGGTATGCATTGGCCTGCCCTTAGTAAAAGGATCATAGGAGAATTCATTTAGGCACGGAAAGAAGGGAGATGGTATTCCTCTGTTTATTTGCATGAGTACACTGACCCCTTCTGTAAAGACACAGGAGGTGTATAGTTTACTTAGCCCCATGGCTAAAAACCACGATCCTTTACCACACAGACTAATGGACCACGAATCCCAACAGGGTCCTATGACAAAGAGAAGCTATATGGAGGAAGGGAAAGGAAAGAAGGATCTTGCCGTATATGATTCAGTTTTTTGGCCTGTTCTCATCTCTTGAACAGAGCAGCCAACTAAACCACTAAAGAGTCCTCCTTACCCTCTTCAGACTGTTAATTGAGGATTAATCAATGTATCCTGATAGATCTAGCACATCTACTAGAAGGAAAGTTGATTAAAACCCTAAGAGGACTTTTTGTTTGCTCTTTTGCTTGCTTTTCCCCCAACCGCTGTGCCCAGCCATTTCAGGTGTCCCTTTGGTGTTTGTTGAAAGCATGACAGAATAGTTTGATTGAGGTAGGACAATCCTAATGGACTCCAAAATGTTTGCAAGTATTTCAGAGATACCAAAGGAACCAAAATACCTGGCTATTATATTTGGCTAAATCTTGTGCAGGGAAGTGGGGTGACGGTGGGGATTTGTGAGAGAACTAGAAACAAGATCATCAGTCTCTAAGACTTTATGTAAGATATTTTTACTACACTTTGAAATTTGTTACTTTGCCAAAAGCCACCAGACCAATCAGCACTTATAATGCAGTCTTTTTTAGCTTCCCAGTCTTCAGTAAGTGCTGTCTTGGAGAGGCCATCATGACAGGGTTATATCTTAACATATAACTAGGAATTTATGCAATTCACCTGGAGTTCAAAGTTGCACTGAGGTTCAATATGTAGTTTACAAAGCAGAAATGATTGACCCAGAGATGTCAGGTTACTCTTGAAAATATACACACATACACAAGCAGGGCTACCCAGAAAGAGAGTGGTTGTGTCTCTGAGAACAGTGTGTGGTACCGTGAGCCAACAGGCAGAGACTTAGGTTTGGTCTGGCTTCACCTCAAAAGGCTTCTCTCTGGGGAAGCAATGGTTTGACCTGAGTCTTAGATGCCTGAAGTGAAGCTATTGTCAGATGCAGGATGCTCATTTGGAAAGGGAATGCCTCACAGGAAAGAGAGCCAATTACAAGTTCAGGCTGTTGCCATGGTGCTTTACTGATCCTTCAACATGCAATACAGGAACTCCCAGGAAGGCTAGGAATAGGATGTAGGGGAGATGGGGAGAAATTAAGCCAGCTTGGGCAAGGCATCCATCCCACTGCCTGTACTGTAATGCTGACAAGAAGGGGCCGGCAAAGGAGCCAGGAAAAGAATGTCATTTTCAGCATGTCCTGGGTTGCTAAAATGAAACTAAAATAATTTAACTCTGAGACATTTCTAACATGAATTATAAGATGTACCAGTGGTAAAATATCAAATAAACATAACGCCAGATAATCGTTCCTCATGCAGCAAACGCTGTCTCAGATTCCCTAGTGTACTCGGGACCCTACAGGAAAGGTTATGAATTTAATCCATTTGCTGAATATGATGTAATAAGCATATTAATGAACTGACTGAGTGCAGAAAATTGCACACTGCATATGAAGTACTTTTTGAACCAAATAAATTAATTCCATCCCCATTCATTCCACCGAGAAAAGAGGTTAAATGCATCAGCACCCAGTTGGTGGGCAAATAATGTTCCAAACGCTGGTTTAAAAGAAATCCTCCTATACTGGAAGCCAAGTCAGAAAGCAGCCACAGCTCTAACCTTTTCCAATGTTAAAAAAAAAAAAAAGAAGAAGAAAAAACTCAGCATCAATTAATCAAATGTACCATCACTTGGAAGCAATTAGAAGAACTGAGCGCTGTGTCAGGCTGCATCTGCAGAGCGCTGTCTGCAGAGGAAGAGAGGGTTAAAGAACACCTAAACAGGAACGGGGGAGGGTAGGACCTCAGGTTTACTTAAATATTCATGGGGCTTCCTCCATTTTAATCTTCTCCTTTTAAAAAGATGGCTGTTTCCCAGTCAGACAGCTCCTGGGGGAAAGAGATTCCCTGCTCCCTGGCAGAGTTGGACTAATCTAGGGTGGAAACCCCTCCGGGCACCAGGACTGTTCGTAACTGATGGAGTGCTTCAAGCCGGCCAGCTGAATACATTTGGACAGGCTCTCGCTCCTCCTTCATACAATTCCTGGTTTCATTACTCTCTTCTGCCTGGAAATAAGCAGGGAGCGCGTAGGCGTCTTCCAAGGATGGAGTGTGAATGAAGATGAGCTTGCCTTTATTAGGAAATACCGCCCATCTGGAAGGCTTTGTCTTTTCTAAGTTTTGGTTCTTTAACCACTGGAACTGCAGCGGTTTCCTGATCCCCTGGAGATCGCTCTCATAGAACTGAATTCTTTCAAAGGGATTTGTGGATTGTGGCAAGAAGAGCTTCCAAAATGCCTGAGGCAAACTATTTGTTATCTGTTTCTTGGGGTTATATCAAGGTGGGTCAATTTGACTGTGTTATGTGTCTTTGATAGGATGTGATGTTTTTATGTCCCTCTGTATTTCATGGGGTAGACGGCATTGAGCAGTGGTTAAATTTGTATATACGTTTAACCCACTGGGACTTCTTATAATGAAATAAGACATGTTTTATTGTATTGTATTTTAATGTACTGTAATGTGTTTCAAAATTCTGGTTCTTCTCAACTCTGTTTTAAAAGGATGCTTTCTGCCTCTCTTTTCATTTTATCTTAAACTTTTCAATTAATCTGTTCTCACTGAATATGTTATCACTCCAAACTATATTTTTGGACATATTTCCAGTTTCTTAACTCAAGTGACATTATTTTAACCTTTATTAAAATTTCTTTTCCTGAGTTTGCAACTTCAAAAGCAATCAGAAAACAATTTTAAGAAATTTTAAGAACTTCTATTTTTTTTTCTACAGCGACATTGCAATGCTATCAAATTGAGAGGACATTGTGATTTCTATTACAGCTCTCATTAACCTAATGAAATTGGCTGATCCAGTCTCTCGGTTCCTAGAAAGTCAAGTTGAAATACAGCAATTGTTTGCTCTTTCTTAGACACTTAATGCATTTTCTTTTCTTTATAAACAGTTCAAAAGGATGCTGAACCGGGAGCTGACACACCTCTCAGAGATGAGCAGATCAGGGAACCAGGTGTCTGAATACATTTCAAACACGTTCTTAGGTAAGATGTTAACAGGAAAACCCACTGAGCTTCTGCAGGGTGAATTTTTACAGTCTACCAAGGGCATCCCTGTGAATTTGGAGTGAGATTGAGCACAGAAAAAAACATCCATCCAAGATAAAAGCTAAAACCTCTCGCTATAGGAAAACAGTAAGCGAGAAGATATTTCTGAAATGAAAATACCCTCTAAAAAGAGCAGGATATGATGGATTGCTTGCATTTACATGGTTTCATATTACTGAACCTGTCTCACAGAGACCTCCCAAGCAGCTGAAGGTCCAATACCCTACCCAGCAACTCCTCTACCAGTATCAAAAAAAAAATCATCTAGTAACTGGGCTCTAAGACAAAAATCTTTCCTTTTAGGTATTTTGTAAGGGTCGTGCCACCTCTACATGTAGAGTCCAGGAGAACATATTCTGGAAATAATTTGACTGTTGCTTTGGTGGGTTATCTCTAAAGGATGAATACATGTGTGTTCCAGGGGTTGGGTTCCTGTCTAAGAGGCCTTGTCTTCTCTAAGCAGTACCAACTGTCTTCTTTTTCTGTTTTTTTTCTTGCTCTCTAAAATTATGTAGATGGTACTTAACACAGAGCACTGGCCATGGGTTTGCAGGGGTGGTCCTCAGTTATTCCCAGGGTCTTGTTTGACAACTTAGAAATTTCTTAAATTTTCTTAAGGGGAACTTTTCTATTATGAGCCTATTCTGCCTGTTTTAATGAGACCTGCAGAATTGGTGTATATGTACCTCAAAATGCATGGGAAGCCCCAACATTTGGATTCTTCTCGTTTGAACTGTTCTTGTTTATGCAGCTCCATATTTCTTTCCAAGGAAGTGACCCATCCTTACAGATGAGCACCAGGGCTTTCCTTTTTGGCACAGCCCCTTAGTAAAGGAGCATTTGCCTTGGTGTCTTATGGAGCACAGTCGGCCTGCAGCTATGTTTTAAAAATCAGTCCTCTATCTTTCCCTTCAAAGCAGTTCCTCCTAACAGGCTAGCTTTCTCAGCAGCCGCCCATGCAATAATGCTCAGTGCAGCATTACAGTACAGCCCTTGGTCATCCAGCAGATCAGCAAACTGCAGATTAGCAGGCAGAGACCATTCTCCCTGCTCTTGACACACGTGTGAGTGTCCTCCAGCACCTGCTATTCCCAGCTGCAGTTGCAACAATGTTTCCCAGAGAACAAAGGAGAAGAATTTTTACACATACTAGTCGTCCAGTGGTGGCTGGAATATAAACAAAGAGAAGGCATAATCACCAATCCTTTTCGTCTCTTGCCTTTCCCCATTATCTCTGAACACAGGACTCTTCCGCACACTGTGTCAGATACATGCCTTGGTTCATTTGATTATTTTTCATAAGCTGACAACTGTTTTCAGGACACTTGACAGGAACTGACAACAGGAGTGAAATCAGCACTAACTTCCCTCAGTATTAGCATTGGAAGGGTGGTGTGTGTATAGATGTGTGTATATGACCTTAAATGTGTACATGGCATACGTAAACAGGCTAGATCGGGAAATGAGAAGGTTCTAAACACAGAAAAAAAAGAAGCAAGCACACAAGAGGCACCAAGTGCTTTATCTGAAATATAGGAACCTTGGGAGAGATGGGGCCCTTCAGTTCTGACATCTGTGAGACTCATTCTGTGAGTCTGTCACAGTTGCTCAGCAGCTTCCCTAAGATACCCTTGACCCCTCTGTAATAAGCAGACAGTCAGAGCTGGCTTCTGAACTACAAATGCAGAGCAGGGGACTCTTAGCTCTGTCTTAGGTGGAAAGGGGTTTCCCTGGAGGACCTCAAGGCCTCCTCATAAACTGTCATATCTGTAGTGAACGTTTAGGGCCTCGTGACACAATTTCCTCATTATAAAAGAATCAGAACTGAAGTTGAGACAATCTAGAGTCACTTGACTAATATTTTTCTAAGCCAGAATGATTAACCATTTGGATTTTTAGAAATAAATACCACATACCATCCTTATTGAAAGCCGTAAGAGTATAAGGAGCAGAATCCCCTTTAAGGGTATGATGTGGATACTATTTTGGAAATTTTTTTCTGGAGGAAATCAGGATGGTTGGAAATGAAAAGGAAGGGTTAATAATTTCTTGGTATATAAAAGACTTTGTTCTGAAAATAACAGTCATTGCAGAACATAAGAAGATGACAATCTCAGTTGACATTATACTTAAAAACAATATCTCAGCCAGAGTGGAAGAGTGTTAAAACCTGTCCTAGAGAAAGAAAGGGTATCTCCTAACCCTGTCATCTGTGAAACTTGTGGGTTTTCCCATCTGAAAGGACTATGTTTAGGTGGGACACAGAGAGCCAGGCAATAAGCCATGGACCAGGCTAGGCACTTACTAATGCTATTATATGGTAGTGGGTTTCATGTTGCTGGGAAAAGTGGACTTTGGAGTACTCAGTCTCAGGAGAAGTAAAAAGGGTGTAGGTGCAGACCACAAATATAAAACAAGCTTTTTAAGTGTTATATTAAAAGCTAGTCAGTATTTTCACAGATAAAGAATTTTTTTAAATATACTCAACATCCTACCTCTAAAGCTAGAATTTTTAAGGTTTGAATGAAAGAGACTTAGAATTGTCACAATCACAAGATCTAGTAACCAAAACCCTTCCAATTGTGCCACTAACAGTGTTTGATTAAGACCAGTTCTCATATATGCTTTTTTGATTGTTTACCTGCTTGCTTTGAAGTAGCCCATGGTGTCAGTGTCTCCACCATATTCTGACAACTAGAAATACTAACCTACTGAGGATTTTTTTTTTGCTTTTTTTTTTTTTTGAGTCTGTGATTCAGGTTGTTTCCATAGGAATCTGGTAAGCTAACTGCTTACCAGAGGAAATTCCAAGTAGGGAAGCCTTGTGCTTGTTCCATCGATTGCGAAGGGGAACACCCATGAATGTCGCCAATACCCCGGCGTATGATGCTCTTCTTCATTGCTGTGTTCCAGGCACAGCAGTTGTTCTGCTCAATTACTCACTGGTGCAGGAAACCTTTAATTAAACCAAACCAGAAAAGCTGCTGGTCCCACCAGAGAGACTTAAATCTGCAGAGGCACTGCGGAATCCAACCAAGCTTTTACACCAAATGTGAAGAGCAGTTGTTGGGAAAAGCAAGGGCTTTCATTCTAGCAGAAAGTGGTAGTTATTAGCCATGAAGTGACAGAAGGAAAGGGAATTTCAAAATTAAATAACATATACTTTGCATGCCAGAGACTGGAGAAAGATTTTTAACAGGAATACTAAGGCCTGAATCCGGGCTATTAAATCACTAGGCAAAAAGTAATTGCAGAATAAATATCTGTTAACTAGGTAGTCCTTTTGAGTTGGGGCAAATGGCTGACTTCATCTGAGAAATGAGTGTAGGATTGTTATTTTTTCCCAAATCTAGTCCTGATCATCCAGACTGCAGGGAGAATTTAGATAGATAGATAGATAGATAGATAGATAGATAGATAGATAGATAGATAGATAGAAATAGATATTTAGATAGATAGATAGATAGACAGATAGATTTAGATAGATATTTATTTAGATAGATAGATAGATAGATAGATAGATAGATAGATAGATAGATAGATAGATTTGGGTGTGGCCCATACATTTGTGTTTTTTTTTTTAAATTTCTCAGTGCCATTTGACACCAAATACTTTTCAAAACCTTTAAATTAGTTGAAGTGACTAAAATTCTCTAATTAAAAGTGATAGACTTGTGAGTTCCTAAAGCCCTTTCAGGGGTCCTGGGGACAGAAAGTGCTAGACTCCCCCAACAGCCAGGTGATAGGCTAAGCATGAAGCTGGCCCTGTCTTGCTGTACTTGCTTTGCTTCGATGGAATGTCTCCAGGGCTTGTGAGCAGGCAGATGTCCCCGAGGAGGACACATGAGTATGCCATCGTCTGCAGGAGTCTGAAAGCAAATCAGCTCTGTCTCAGCATGTCATCTGGAAGCATGCCATTCTCAAATGGGGATGTTGTTGCTGCACTGATTTTCACTGTGACAAGCAAAGAAAAATGAGGGCACTTCTGAGAGACACATTAACTATTTCAGCCATGGGTGTCATTTAGTCCAAGGAAGGATTGGGTCAGCAATGAACCCAATCACTACCTTTGTGCCCCCACAGGTGCCCCTGTAGCAAGACAGAGGTAATACACCATCACAAGCACTCAGAATTCCCTGCAAAGGGAAATACAATTTTTGGTAGTTAATAGGTGATAGTAATATACAGGAAAGATTTTACATGCATCTAGATATTCATTTAAACTAATACTAGCTCTGCTGTTACCTTGTAAATTTAAAAGAAAACTAACTGAGATTATCAATAGTTAATAACCACAAACATATTAGGAACTAAAATGCCTATTACGAATAAGAGGCCTTATTATTTATTAGAAAATTAATAAGCACAAAACATGAAGAAAATCAAATTATAATCTTCCCCTAAACCTCAAATGGTAATGAACCAAAGCTTTAAAATAATTATTTGAAGGTTATGAAACCATTTACTTTTCTAACATATATTCTTATTTAAACTGAGCCTAATCAAATTCATATGAATTTTTACATAAAAAGGAATAAAAATATATTAAAATGAGCATAACATAGTTTGCTTTTGTTAAACTGGCCCTGTCTTTTACAATGAACTTTTTCTTTCTGTTTGCTTTAAGATGAGTCCCATGTAGCCTAGGCTACCCTCAAATTCATTATGTAGGTCTGTGAACCTTTGTCCTCCTGCCCCTGCCTCCCCAGTATGGGACCACAGACCCTATGTCACTGTGTCCACTAATGAACATTGTATACACAAAAATATGTCACTCACTTTAACAAAAAATTTCTATATAAATATAGATACTCCACTTTGAATATATGACTGCAATTCTGATTACACTGAAAATAGAAGATGGGGATTGGGTTTTACCTCTGCCATTTCTTATTTCTGTTACTTGCTCCTCTGGGCCTCAGTTTACTTTGGCAGTAACATGGAACAATCCATGTCTCCCACCTGCTTCACAGGCCCATCTGCAGATCCAGCGAGGTCATGCTACAAGAGTTCTTTATGAAATTTAAACTCCATTACACAGGGTTCAAGTTGTTCTGAATACTATTGCATGCACATTGGCACACATGTGCTCAAAAGCATGTTCACTGTTCTGTTGCAGACAAGCAGAACGATGTGGAAATCCCATCTCCCACGCAGAAGGACAGGGAGAAGAAGAAGAAGCAGCAGCTCATGACCCAGATCAGTGGAGTGAAGAAGCTGATGCACAGTTCAAGCCTGAACAACACAAGCATCTCACGCTTCGGAGTCAACACGGAAAATGAGGATCATCTAGCCAAGGTGAGTGTGAGCTGGGCAAATGTGTGTGCAGCTCTCCACTGCACACTCTTACACACACACATACACACACACTCACAAATGCACATACACACATACATACACTCACATATGCACACACATTCACACACATGGACATACACACACAGACTCACACACATGCACACACTCACACACAGGTATACACACACTCACACACATACACACACACACAAGCACATAAACATACACACTCACACACATGCACACATTCACACACACACACTCACACACAAGCACATATACACACAGGCACACACACAGGTGCACACACACTCACACACAGGCACACACACTTACACACAGGTGCACACATGAGTACACACATACACACCATCCAAGATTTAGAAAAGAAGAGGGATCACATTTGCTTTGCCAATGAGTTTTATGACGCAGAAGCTGATGTAGCCTCTTTGTTAACTGCTGGAGCATCTGACCAAAGTCCTTCTATACCAAAAGACTGTTCCTTTGTCCTGAATATAGGCTCAGTTCTCAGTATAGGCAGAGTTCCTTATGGATAGAACATCCTGCTGGGGAGGATACAGAGAAAGCTGGCAGGCTGGGCTGCATTATCCCAGAAGACAAAAGGGGGAAAGTATGCTGGGCACCAGGGAGAAAGTCTGCCTGATTGGCAGGGGTAGGGATAACATGAAGAGCCTGTGACAATGCTGACCACTAAGCCCAAACCCAGTAGTGGAGGAAAGGACTGAAAAGGTTCATTACTCCTGTAGGAGGCTCCACAGACACTGGCTGCTAAGGTCCTTGCAGCCTGGTCAAAGATGAAGCAAGATTCCTTGGAGCAAAACTTCTTCCATGAGGCCTTCTGAAAACTACCATCAGAGAAAAGCTAATTAAACACTGAGCCAAGCCTCTGGCCAGTTATTCAAATTGAAATGTTACTCCTCTCAGCAGACGATTTTTGGAATAATCCCACAGCAAAGGCCTGAATGATGTTCCTTCCAGGTCTGTGGGCCCATCGACTCTAAGCTATTACCCACACCAGGCAGTCTTCAGCAGCTGTTGCTGATGGGCCAGCGCGAGTAGCGAGAAAGAGACAGGGAAACAGGACCAGAAGCCTGTGCTCATTTGAGCTGTCTTTGAAAGCAGCATCAGGTGAAGATGGGGGTTTGTCAACTATAGGTTAGAAACTCAAGTTATAAATGCAAACATACTTGGCTGTTTATAACAAAAGAATGTGCAGAAACCTGTAGTTATCACAAAGAGGATATCCAGCCAGCCCACCATTCTTGGATTCTTAGGCAACTGGAACTTAAACAAATGCATGAAAAGACTCAGCAGCTAATTTCTCCCAAATAAAATCTTATAAAATATTTTACAACATTAAAAATACTATCATTCTTAAATTGCTCTCATTTTGATTTGTAGGAGCTGGAAGACCTGAACAAATGGGGCCTTAATATCTTCAATGTGGCTGGGTACTCACATAATCGGCCCCTCACATGCATCATGTATGCCATATTCCAGGTGAGACAAACCGAGTAAACACCAACTATCTGGGAACAGACCTCTTTATGTTTTACACTCTGTGTTACTTTTATGACGATTTTTTCTCCAGTTTTGGATATCTACTTATTCATGCCCTAATCCATTTTCCTAAATAGGAAAGAGACCTTCTAAAGACGTTTAAAATCTCATCTGACACCTTTGTAACCTACATGATGACTTTAGAAGACCATTACCATTCTGATGTGGCATATCACAACAGCCTGCATGCTGCTGACGTGGCCCAGTCAACTCATGTTCTCCTTTCTACCCCAGCCCTGGATGTGAGTAGTTGTAGTCAGTTTTGCCTACCTACCCCCCCAACCTCCTATTTTTTTTAAAGTATCATAAATGCACAATACCTTTATAGAAATAATGCAATTGAATGGCCCTGGATACTTGAACTACTTATTCAGTAGCTATGGCATTCAGCAATTTGGGTTGCTTATGAAAATAGATTACCCTTCTGCTTTCCTCATTTTCCAGTATCAGTGTAATGTTTCTTTTTTCATCTTTGCCATCTGAAAGTTATTTAATTATTAGACAATGAATTAGACCCATGATTTATTTTCATCATATTCCTAGTAAGGGATACACAGTATCTCAAGGCATCTTCTTTAGTGTCTGTCATACAGTACATATACACTGTATGTAATCATCTGAATTGCCCAATATGTACTCATTCCAGGCCCTGAGGAGGGTATAATGTATATATTATATGAAATGTTCTGTGTAGTTTCTGTTAGGGATAAACATCTATAGACGTATTTTCCTAGAAATTCAAAGTAACTGAAAATCAAGAGCAGACAGGTTAATAAATAAGAAAAACTGAACCAAAACACTAAGAAAAGCTGCTCCTTAAAACCTTTGTGGAGATGTCTATGACTCTTTCCCTTATAGTTCAAGGTTTCTCATGAGCTACCATAATTAGTAATATGTCCAGCCATGCCACCACTGAACAGATGGCAATAGTAAGTAACTAGGTACACCCAAAGTGTTCTGCCTGCTGCCAGAAAAGACTGGCCAGGCCTTATCCAGCCATGTTGGAAAATCCAGTTTGGGAGTTAGAAAAAGACTAAGTTCTTTGCTTGACTTTCATATGATCTGAGACAAGCTGTCTAAGACAGCTTGCTAAACTGAGATGGAGGTAGGGGTATTTAATCCCCCTAAGGGAAAAAGCTGTATTGCATTTACATCCATAAAATCAGGTAATAGTACTCATCTAGGGTTGTACATAACTATTGTTTGGTTCTAAGTTGGCTATGACTGTTACAGACTTAGAAAAGGTAGTGTAGAATGCTTGATATGTAATAGGATTGGTCTTTCAGGGAAGAGGTAGACAGTCAGTTAACATTTGAATGAACAGAAGAGTTATGTCTTCATCCTTAAGAATCAGCAGTATTGTGTGCCTAACAAGAATAAGGTTGAAATCACTGTACATGGGGGAGGAAGAGGGCAGAGAAGGAGGTCTTCATGACAGTGTGAGGGAGTGAAGCAGTATGACATTAGGCTTTGTTAGAAATGTTCTCAACTCTAGCCTACAGTAAACATGCAGTGGGTATGCGGATGAATTACTAAATATATGACAGCCTGTGACCTCACTATAAAATAAACTTTGGCAAACATTTTATCATTTGCCTCCCAAGGATGGAGTTTAGCCTTTTCCATCCCTCATTGCTTAGCCTGCCTGTGTATGAAGGTTACTATCTGCTATGTTCCCAGAGCATTCTGACTTGCTTCTTTGGCTGACACAGGCTGCATTATATAAGCATTATACTGCCATAAATCCAAGACACGAACTACAGGCATCCACACATACCAGCAACATTGTGCTAATGACTTACCCAAACCTCAGCCTATGGACTCAATAAGAGATGAACTCTGGCCATCATCCTTCTCACATTAGAGATTTTATGGTGACAAACAGAGTCTTATGCTTGATTCAATCCACATCCCAAGCTCTCATAAAAATCAAGAGTGCCTCTCCCAACAAGACTAAAATGTGGTACTTGAAAGAGATGAAACTGAAGAGTGAGACAGGTGCATTGGATGTGGAGTTAATGGGCTCCTTTGAACCCACAGGCTGTCTTCACAGACCTGGAAATCCTGGCTGCCATTTTTGCAGCTGCCATCCATGATGTCGATCATCCTGGAGTCTCCAATCAGTTTCTCATCAATACAAGTGAGTTCACCACTGCACAGTTATTCCACATTATTCTGTGATTCACTGCAGCCTTTTCCTCCTAACGTTTTCATTATGGGTAATAACAAGGGCAGTAATGAGGTAATTCTTTCATTCCATGGAAATTGCTCAGGCCTTTCCTGGATACTGTGTCCAGCTTGTCAACACAATGTTTGAGGTGCATGGAGAACTTGGAGAGGGTCAGGGGCAAGCCATAAAAACAAAGCCCCAAAGTTTGGAAAAAATACAATATGGAAAAAAAAAGAATAAAAGATTTGTAGTGGCCTGGCAAGACTAGGAAAGCTTGGGTATGTATTAGTGACTCTCAGTCTTTTGTGAAGCTAACATACATAACATAGTAAACCATGAATGTCCCTCTATCCTAGATGATAAGCAGAGGCGCTAGGCCTGAGCATTCCTCGAGGGACACTGGAGTAGATACCTACAGTTCAATAGCAAGGGTCATTAAAGGTCTACACATTTTCTTTCAACTGCCTGGCTTTGACTACAGACTGTGGAGAAGCAAGGGAAGAATCTAGTTTGACCAACCTCAGGATCTGAAGCTATCCCCAGGGCTTTATCTACTCAAACTATTTGATTTTCATGTTACTCATAATTCATTCTTTGTCTCCGTTAGTGCTCCATCTCTATGTACATTTTCTTATGATAATATTGGTTGTCTCATTATGATCCTGAATGACATCTAGTACTGGCAGTTTTATAAAAGTACTGTCTGAGTTTCCTGCTAGAAGAGGCCTTCTGCTGTTTGTCCTTGTCTTTATCTTCAAAATACTGCGTATCCTAAGCTTGGGCAACACTGGTTTTCTTCTTTCAATTTTAATATCTTGTTCTTGTCTTTTAAAAACATCATCAACATAAACTTTGGGTACCTGCCTCTTTGCATGGGTCGGTTTAGTCAGTTTAACTTTCTGATAGTTTGTATCTCAAGGGAAATATAGCTACTTACAGTACTGAGACATATAAAGCATGTTTATAAATCTGTGCCCTTGACTACAAGGTTATCAGAACAAGAGGGCTTAAATTACTTCAGAGAAAGCTATGGCAAGAGAGAGAGAGAGAGAGAGAGAGAGAGAGAGAGAGAGAGAGAGAACACTATTGTATAGTAGTCACATACATCAGTTGGTTGCTACTCTCAGTTAAGATAAAACATATCTTAATGAATTTAATGACCATACACTTGGGTAGAAAGCTGTGTCAGACAAAATAAAGATAAAGCAGAGTGGAGTTGTAGTTTGGGTGCCTAGCTATTGCAATTTCTGGTATAGAATACCGGAGAAAGGAAAATCTAATATCAACATTGTTTTAAAAAATATTCATGCTCAGCTGTCATATTTATAGAAACCTCCAAAAGCTACATTATTGAGTTAAAATAAAATTTTATGCCAACACATCATCCTTTTTGAAGATCTAAACTCACAATTGTCAGAGTTTGGGAATCGTATATGAAAGCAAGCATAGTTTGAAAATCTTAATACATTTGATAACGCATCTGTGTTTTCATTTCATTCCTTTTTCAAAACACAAAATTCATGAATACTTAAAGGAAATTGTAAGCTGAGATGAAAATATAGTTTATCTAATGTTAAATTCTTCATCTCATATGAAAGAGAAAAATCATATTGTAATATCTCCGGGAATTATCTTTTGCTCTGCTTCCCTAGTATGTAATGGCCTATGGATGATGGCTTTTGAAATAATTTAAAAAGAGCTAGATCAAATTTCACATTGAAGCGATGCCAGTGTCTGCATTATACAATTTTATTACTTTCTTATGGTCATCATTTTTTTTTATTAGATTCTGAACTTGCTTTGATGTATAATGATGAATCTGTGCTGGAAAACCATCACCTCGCTGTGGGATTCAAACTGCTACAAGAGGAACACTGCGACATCTTCCAGAATCTTACCAAGAAGCAACGTCAGACACTTAGGAAAATGGTGATTGACATGGTAAGATGCCAGCCTGCATCCCTCACCTACATTTGCCATTTTCTCGTATAGACTGACTTGATTGAGAGTTTTAATTCTGTCTTTCCCCAAGGTCTTAGCAACGGATATGTCCAAACACATGAGCCTCCTGGCAGATCTTAAAACAATGGTAGAAACCAAGAAGGTGACTAGCTCCGGTGTTCTCCTCCTGGACAACTATACTGACCGGATACAGGTATCTGATGTTTAACACAAAGCCAAACTAAACAAAAGCAAGCAGTATTTAGAAAACAAAAATAGAAATTTGGTTAGTTGCATGACCTAGGTTACTACTAAACCATTGGACATATTTTTAAAACAAGTTAAGAAAATAGAGTTTATCATTTCATTTATGAAGTAAGCAATCCTACATTCATTGAATTGCTTAGTTCGAAAATAAAGTTGCAATGTCTATTTGTAATAGGTTGTATATGAATATTGGTCCTCAAAGCTCACATTTGCATACAAATCCCACCAACTGCAACTTTGCTAGGTCTGATTTTGCTAAACAAATTGCCATTAGCTGTTCTTTTTCCACCCATGGAAAATCTAGAAGTAATTACCTTGAGTCATTTTTTGCATTCTTTACAAACTATGGGAAGAAATGTTAGCAGAATTTGACTTTTAATACCCCCTCCAATTTTTAAATTCAAAAACCATTAGTCTAGGAAAATATACACACTTCCTTTTTGAAGCTCTAATGGTAAATAACCAACCCTGGCCAGCACGTTCTTTTGATGGGTGTATCGTAATTATTTTCGACTAAAATGTGCTTGGTACGGAGTGTACTGGGATGAGAAGGATAAGATGTTCTGGTGGCATTTATGCTTAGTTTTATGGGATTTTCCAAAATTTGATCATTTCAGGTTCTTCGAAACATGGTACACTGTGCAGACCTGAGCAATCCTACCAAGTCCTTAGAATTGTATCGGCAATGGACTGATCGTATCATGGAGGAGTTTTTCCAGCAGGGAGACAAAGAACGGGAAAGGGGAATGGAGATTAGCCCAATGTGTGATAAGCACACAGCTTCTGTGGAAAAATCCCAGGTATCTACACTGAGATATTTTTTCAATGTTTTTTTATGAGCTTTACCAATAGTAGAACTGGAGAGTTCCTTTCTGTTAGTCTCTCTCTCTCTCTCTCTCTCTCTCTCTCTCTCTCTCTCTCTCTCTCTGTGTGTGTGTGTGTGTGTGTGTATGTGTGTGTGTTTTATCCATGTGAATATCTGTGATAAAGAAGCAACCATAAATTTCATTCCATCATATTTATCTTTCCTTTGCTTTCTCCATGCTTGGTCTCTCAGCAGGGGCATTAAGCAAAGTTTTCAGTTGTCTAATACCTTATCAGATTTGGTAGACACATGAGCACCTGTACCCTCCATCCCCCTGCCTAGATTTCTCCTCATCCTTTCTCCATCCAAGAGCTCAACTTCTTATCTGTGCTCTCCACATATATGTTGCTCTCCTCAGTTAAGCACGATGTCACCATTACCAAAGATGAGAAAAAGACCTATCTTTTCAATGTGGCCAAAATATCTTCCCAGTGTAAGGCAAAACAAGCATGCAAGCAAACAAACAAACAGCTGTCCTCTTGGTCTAGTTTGCCAACTTCTTAGTGACCCAGTTGTCCTCTCTGTCATGTGGACAGGTCTCCCCAAGTGCCATGATGTCTTCATCCATACTGCTGTTTAGTTCATGGGCTCTGCTAAACATCGGATGCTTGATCTGGAAAGGAAGCTTCGAACTAGAAATTCTTAGTATTTGAGGTTTTCTCATCCCAAGTCCCAGGGAATAAACAACTACCAATGATCTTCCATGAAAGGCTGAAGTATTTCTTACTAAAAGCAAAGCAAGTGAAGAAATTAAATGACAATGCTGTGTTATGTTACACATGTTTGTCTGTTGCTATGAGCTTCTTTCTAGTCCATGGAAAGCACTTTTTAAATGGCCTCTAAAATCCTTTAAACCGTATATAGAGATAAAGAGAAAAAAGTGAGTGGGTGGGAACAAAGTAATATCTGAATCATCCTGCCAAATTCTTGTAACTAGCACAGATCATAGCTGTCCTGTCTTTCATGAGTCTTCCTCATTAAGTTGGAAAAGAACCATTAAAAGGTATAATATGTACATGCATAGGCACAGAACCTACACACACACATAATCACATACACACATGCACATGCACACATGGTGGGAGGTAGGGCAGAATCTCACACATGACCAATGTATATAACTTGACCACATGTATATAATTTGAATATATTAAATGACTGGCCATATACCAGAATATTGACAGAGAAAGGGAAACATAATGTCCCCAAAAGACCCTACCTCACCTCCACTTTGATCCCAACTCAACATCTCTCCCTCCAGCCCCACCCATAGTCTGACAGGGGAATTCCATTCCCTCATTCACTGGTGCCTATTCTCTTTACCTGCCCCAATCCCCAATGTTTCCTGTTTGTCTGACAATGAGAAGGTCAGTTTAAGGCCACTTAGCCAGCTCCTGCAGGATGCATAGCCCTTGTGTAAACCACAACAGCGTCACAGCCTTGATTTATGTTCTTGCACACAGGCAAAAGGAACTGCTTACTTGTTTTATTTTCCTTCTTTCTCTTGATGGAAATGACTGCATGCACTATGGATCCTAAACAATAGCAGCAGTATCCATACTGTAGAGATTTGTTTGTGTAGGGTTTGAATTGTTTTCAAGTATTTTATTATTATTTTAAATAGTTTCCAACAAGGCAAAGGCTTGGGAAGTTCCAGAAGAGTGGATGGCCAGCTCCTGTCATCTTGGCACGGTGACATATTTAATAGTTATCAGGGAGAGAATATTGAACCAGAACACTTCAGACTTGGGGCTTCCTTCAGAGAATGACTCACAGAATCCAAGTAGTGACAAAATTATTCCCAGTTACTTCCAGACCTAGCTGGCAGATGTGAAAGGAAATACTTGCAGTGAGATGAACACAGGCTTTGGAGCCAGACAAAGCAGAGACTAAGGCCCATGTCTACCACTTCCAAGCTAACCTCTGTACCATGTTTGGTCTCCATGATCCTCAGATTCCTCCTTTGTAAACAGCAGGCAAAAATTCTTTGCAAGATTGAGAGGTATCTGCACATATTATATATTGTCCAGGGCCTACCATTTAGCAACCGATCAAATAAACAAATCTCTTACTATTGGTCTCCTTGTATCCCCTTCTCTCTTTAGATAGAAACCAAGACAGGATGCTTGGTTTTCAAGGGCCCATGCAGTAACAGATGTGTGGTCCTCTTTTCCTTCAGGTTGGTTTCATTGACTACATAGTCCATCCACTGTGGGAGACCTGGGCAGACCTGGTTCAGCCTGATGCTCAAGACATTCTGGATACACTAGAAGATAACAGGAACTGGTACCAGAGTATGATACCCCAGAGTCCCTCCCCACCACTGGATGAGAGAAGCAGGGACTGCCAAGGTCTTATGGAGAAGTTTCAGTTTGAACTCACCCTTGAAGAAGAGGATTCTGAAGGACCGGAAAAGGAGGGAGAAGGCCACAACTATTTCAGCAGCACAAAGACACTTTGTGTGATCGATCCAGAGAACAGGGATTCCCTGGAAGAGACTGACATAGACATTGCAACAGAAGACAAGTCTCCGATCGACACATAATCTCCCTGTGTGGAGATGAACATTCCACCCTTGACAAGCATGCCAGCTGAGTGGTAGGGCCAACCTACCATGGCCAAGGCCTGCACAGAACAAAGGCCACCTGGCCTTTCCAGTTACTTGAGTTTGGAGCCAGAATGCAAGGCCATGAAGCAAATAGCAGTTCCGTGCTGCCTTGCCTTGCCTGCAAGCTTGGCGGTGACCCGCAGCTGTATGTGGTAGTAGAGGCCAGTTCCCATCACAGCTAAATGGCTTGAAAACAGAGGAGACAAAGCTGAGAGATTGCTCTGCACTAGGTGTTGGGAAGCTGTCCTGACAGGTGACTGAACTCACTAACTTCATCTATAAATCTCACTCATCCCGTTGTCTGCCAACCTGTGTGCCTTTTTTGTAAAATGTTTTCGTGTCTTTGAAATGCCTGTTGAATATCTAGAGTTTAGTACCAACTTCTACAAACTTTTTTGAGTCTTTCTGGAAAAAAGAAAAAGAAAGAGAGCAGTTTCCCCCTCTTTCTTGGGCAATATCTTTGGCTTTCCTCCAGTTAACTTTTGCAAATAGACAGGACAGATGCAGTTCTAACCACAGGCTACTTCCTTCTTTTTGTCTAATATGACTCCTTAGTGGCCCCTGCATCTTAGCTGTTTGCCTGCTTTGAGCACTTGTTCCCCCCACCCCCCACGGGAAGTGTCTCTGCTTTGCTTTAAACTCATGCTCAACAAACCAGGTCTGTGGAAGAAGCTGTGCTGTTTGCCATCAGTCTATGGAGTGCTCCGTCACACAAGGCCATGTGTGTGGCTGCCTCCCAGCCTCCAGGCCATTGGGAGCTGCACACCACCTGCCAGCCCTCCTTTCTCACCCCTCCTTCACTCAAATACTGTTTTCAATTTAATGCTGCCGTCTTTGTCTTGTACTGCCCCCTGCACTAACACTTCCCTCTCTTCCTGTTTATAACCATGTATTTATTACATAATGTACATATTGTAATGTTTTGTAAGTTATTAATTTATATATCTAACATTGCCTGCCAATGGTGGTGTTAAATTTGTGTAGAAAACTCTGCCTAAGAGTTGCAACCTTTTCTTGTAATGTTTTGTATTGTGTATTATATATCCCAAACATTGCTTAAAAGAGACATGAAGCCCCATTAAGCAGTTAAGGGCAGGAATGGCCGTTGTTCCAAGGGTCTGCTGCCCTTTATTTGTCTGAGTCCCTAATTGTGCCCAACCCTTTGATGAGCTGGTTTTGCAAACAGGTTTATCATATTAGATACTAAATGGTTTATACTGAAGTTTTATTTTGTATAGTTTGATAGGGGCTAGGAGCACTGGGATGTCATTTTTTACCCGTGTTCTATCCAAGTCTCTTGGATGCAGGAGTTGGGTTGTCACTGGGCTCTGCTCTAATTGTGGCTTTGGTTCTAAAACAACAACAACAACACTACATTTGATCACAGATGATACTGAGTATTCCCAAACTACTGACTTGGAAGAGCTAGTCTCCATACTGCTCACAAGCAGAGGAGCCATGTTCAAATTCATCAAAGGCAACAAGAAGACAATGTGAATTTTTATCGTAGAATGTGAACTGATGTCATAAATTACGCAAATGTGAAGCTTCTGATAACACTTGTTAGGCCTCTTCCTGGTGTCAGTTTCAGTTTGTAAAATATGTGTCATGCTTCAGTTCAGCATTGTGACAAAAGTTAAAGAAAATGGCACAAAATGTGCATGACCAATGAGTTTGTACATCTGTAACACTGCGTTATTCCAGGTGGACGTTATATTGTTTTCAAAAGTTTCTCACAATGTATGTTATAATATTATTACTATTATATATTGTGCTCAAATGCATTCTTAAGAAACTTTTATATGAGCTGAATAAACAAAAGCATGAATAAATTAGATTGTAGCCCCATTCATTTCGTGGTCAATATATTAAAGCAAGTTGTCTTTCTTCCTCTTCTTCACCATACTTCACAAAAAAGCAAGCTACTTTGTTCATCCAAATCACAGCTGAACTTTCAGATTCTCTGTGTCTAAAAAGTCCCATGGCTCAGAACATTTTATTTTCTTCTCAGCAGATTATTCACACAGCTCACTGATACAGGAAAGAGGGTGGTGAAGACTAACAAACAAAACCACTTTGTTCATCTTGAACCATTTCCTTCTACCTCTTTAGAATTCTGAAGAGTTTAATCTCTTAGGTAAATAAAAGGCATCTTCAGCCGGGCTGTGTCAGCTACCACAGTGACTCACAGAATCATAGTACATTAGCTCAATGTAGATAAACCTGTTGATTCATTTGACACACGAGGAATCTGAGGTCTAAAAGAGTCACCTAGACCACAACCCTCAGAGCACGTAGAAATACTCATGAACACCCCAGCAATCTTCCTATGCCTTTGCTGGTAGGTTATGTTATTCTAGAAAGGACTGTTTAAATGTTATCAATTCTTAAAGTCATCATTTTAAAATAAATCATCCTGAGTGCATGCGTGCATGCGTAGGAGATGACAAATACTCAGTGAGTAGCTCTTACTAACTTAGCCACAGAGAAGTAAATGGCCTGTGGCCAGGAAAGAGCCTACTCTAGATGAATTCCTCACTAAGAGGAAATTGCTGAATTTCTTTAGAAAATCAAAAGCTTGCCTTTGGTTGTGGGTGTAGGAATTGAGACTGGGTCCTTTAATATGAGCAACAATTGTGCTAATCTGCTGAGAGATCTCTCTGGTCCCTTCTCACTCTAATGAGAAGGCTCCATATGACCTCCTATGAGGAATGCTCTCTGGGCATGACTCTCAAGCCCTAAAGAGTTAGGTGCTTTCACATGCTTCTCTACTTTAGCACTTCTTGTACTGTCACTAATTTTTTTCTTGCACATCTAATTTTCCACATCTTCCAGTGCACGAGATGCAATGTGTCTTAGCATAGCACCTAAAAGAATGTTAGGGGCCTGTTTGGACTCAGAAAACTGTACTCCAAAGTGAAGGCCTGAGAAACAATCTTCCTATCTGAGCTTAGTTTACCACTTCATGTTCCGAATACCTCTTCTTATTCCAGGCATCTCGGAAACTGGAATTCCTTTTGCCACAGTGGGCCTTGAAAACCAGAATACCTTTTCCTAAAGCCAGCCATAAAAATAAATATATCACTCTGCTGTTCATTACTGGTTGTAGCAATCTGTAAAAACATTCTTTTGTCTACCTTGCTTGACTGTAGGATAGATGACCTCCAGATAGGAACCTAGATTCAGAAAAAAAGGAATCGTGCAGACTGGCTGAAGAAGAACCCTAGCAGACTGGGCTTCTTCTGATCAGTTATTATTAACTCATACCATTGGTGAGATGGTATCAGTTATGACCTTTGATAATGGACAGGAAAGAGTTCATCCCCATTGCTGACTCTGTTGACCTAGTCTATGTTCATTGATATAATCTACGCTAGTTGATGAGGACCCATGAGAATTGGTAGAGAAGCGCTTCAGTACCCATGCTCTACTCTACTGTATCTTCTGTGAAGGTACATAGTTGATGGAGGAGGACACTTTACTCAGTACAAAGAAGCTAAGGCCTTCCCTAAGAACGTGTTTACCTGTCAGATGATTTGAACAAAGCAAATTGTGTTTGGAGAGCACCTCTGTTGTATAAGTGATTTCCTGTCTACAGATGCAGGATTTCCCAGATACGAAAAGGATTTGCCAATAATTTTTTAAAATTATAATTAGGGAGCTCTGAGAATGAGAGAGAATACATTATAAGCTATAACCCTATGAGTGTTTGGTAGGCAAACAGTACCTTACTCTCTAAAGCCAAGCAATAGAGATTGCCAAACATGACATCAGCCACATGGCATATTCTGAACAGATTATAAACATGTAGTTTGGGAGGAAGGTAGCTAACAGAAGTTTGAATGCAATATGTTCTCTTATATGTTAAGTTAGTAGATAGCACCAAGGAGTGGGTGCTCTAGATATGGTATAACTGCATTTCAGCAAAGTATTTCCTAATATGCTATTGACCAAATTAGCCTAGTGATTGTATACCTGGTTTAACTTACATTTCCCTCTATTCTCTTACCTGTAGAGCATTTCTTAAGAGATCATTGCTGGTCTGGAAGACAGAGGTATCAACAACTCCATTTCTTGCCCTATCCTGAACATCATTTTTAATCTCAATGTATATGGCAATATTAACTTAACTGTTAAAGATACAACTCGAAAGTGCCAAGGAGGGTGTGATATCTGGATTCTCAGAATCACAATCCAAAATAATTTTTAGGCTAAAATAAATAACAATTTGTAGTATGAAGATTTTTTTATGTATGTTATCTTATTTAGCCATGATAATATGCTATTAATATTAGTTTTTCTTTATGCATGCTTGGAATATGTCAGCAGCTTTGCTAAATTAAACCATCATCCTAAATAATCTTTGCTATAGACTGCATGGTTCGTTTTATAGAAAAGAAAACTGAATACCTACCAGGTAAGGACCTTTCCTAAGCTCACAAAGGTGATACTAGAGCAAAAATTCATTTTGGATTTTTAGATGAAATGTAGCAAGGAAGAATAAATTTTGCAACAAGGTTCAGAAACTCAGTTGCAGAAGGATAGAGAAGATTTAGTCCACGGGACAAGGCATGGAAAGCTGTTTGTCTGTGTGTCACCTTGTGAATCATGCAGATGAGTCATCAAGCTCCCCCAAATGAACACAGTCTCTGCCTTGAGACAGTGCTAGCAACAAAGATGGACAAGAGTTACACTACTATTCTTCAATGAACAAACTACACTCTTGGGTCTGGAACTCTGATGCTATCTGTGTAGATAAGCCTAGGATGACTTGATCAGAATTGTCAAGGTAAGTCACATGAAAAATGGTTGCAAAAACTGCTGCATAGAAAACATGCTACCTCTCCTTACTTGAAATTGACATTCACTCCTGCACACAGTGAACCAGACATCATTCTATCACTTGATTCTCTTGATAATTACATGACAAAGACGTTACTAACTCTTGTTTCACTGCTGAGGCTACTGAGGCACAAAATTTTACAGCAGTTCCCAAAGACTTAGGCAAACATTGAGAGTCTAGCTCTTATTTTCAGCTTGCTCAAAATTGGAATAGGACTTACATACTGTGGTGCTTAGTTTTACTTGTCAACTTGACACATGTAGAATCACATGGGAAGAGAGCCTCCTCGGTGAGAGATTGTCTAGATCAGGTCGGCATGTGTATATGTCTCGATTACTTTAATTGATGTGGGAAAGTGGAGGTAACCAGTCCTTTGATTTGGATCCCAAACAATATGAAAAGAGGGAAACGGATGTAATACAAGCATACATGCATGCACTTTCCTTTTGCTCTTGACTGTAGATGCAACTAGCTATCTCAAGGTCTTGCCATCTTGATTTCCCCATGGTGAAGACTGTAACTTGGAATCTTTTGCCAATTAAATCTTTTTCCCCCTTAGTTGTCTTTGTCAGAGTACCTTATCAGCAGGAGACATTAAACTAGGATACATACATGATGGCTCATAGCTGTCTGTATCTTCAATCCCAGACTACCTGATGCCTGCCCTCTTCTTGCCTCTGTGGGCATCAGATATGCATCTAGAGCACAGACATACATGTAGACAAAACACCCATACTCATAAAGTTTAAATAAATAAGTTTTAATACGAGAAGTAATTAAGTGAGAAGTCAGTGGGAAAAGCAAAACTAAAATAGAACCAAACTCATGCTGAAAAACCATCACACAGAGCACGATATGCTGAAGTCATGGGGTTCACTGTGACTTCTGATGGCTTCAGGTTCACATGCCTAGGAGACAGAGTCAGTGGATCACTGCTCTATCCCTATATTACTGTCACCTGGGGAGAATTAAAAGTCTTGTGTGCAGGCATCTAGGAAAAGCCAATTCAGTCAGGGCTCTGGAGGAGAATGGAACCCAAACAGCATTTAAAATGTACATTTTCCATGCTAAGGACACTTCAGTAGAAAAGAGAACAGAGAGTGTTTCTGGGCATAATTATCAGCTATACTTTTATACAAACTTTTGTAACCAACTCAGTTTTGACATTGTATCAGATGATAATGTCCAGTCAGTCACAACCATCAGTAACACTAGTTCTTGAAAATCTGAAGTTCTCTTCTGGCCTCCTCCACACCATTAGATGCTGATACAATTGAGGAGACAGATAGTAGTACCATTTTTAAAAGTTAATAGGTTCTTAGGCTTTGATACAAGTTCTATGAAGGAGAAGCAACCTTGGTCAGCCTGTATAAAAAGGGGAAAAAAGAAACATTTTATGGCTAAAAAAACTCAGCTGATAGCTAAAGTCCTGTAGTGGGAGGCAGCACAGCTCCAAGGATGAGAAGAAAGAGGCCTTGTGTGACTTACAATGTAGAGCAGTAAACAATGTTGCTTTGTGAGGTATCACCAATCAACCTCATGGCACATGATAAGACTTTAAACACAGTGGGACTCCATCAACATTGCTAAGTAGAGAAGTATTATAAGCACACTTTCATTTGGAATGACTCTCCTAATTATAATATGCAGACACATTTGGAGAGGATAATAAAGAATGTGGAAGATGAGATTATAAGTCATAACCAAACTGTGACAAAATGGTAACTTAGACCAGGAAGAGGCTGTGGAGATAAAGAGAAATGAATGCATATGGTGTTATGTAGGAACTGCCTTTGCAAGTCTTGGGGATGGGCTAAGTTAAGAGAGAAAAGACTTGAGAATAAATGTCAGATTTTTTGACTTAGAAAAGGTGATAACATCATTCTCAGAAACAAGAAATACAAGGGAAGTTTCAATTTGCAGAAAGGGGTGTGTGTGTGTGTGTGTGTGTGTGTGTGTGTGTGTTTAATTTGGGGCTATATTTGTGACAGG